GACTGGTACAGAAAAACACTTCGTAAAATGGAAATTCATTTTATGTTTACATCTTTTTTATATTTGAAGTCTTCAGTTACTTCCTTAACATGTAAAGACTGAAAGTGGATTTCTTGTTTTCCCTGTAGCTTTCACACTCTGTAACACGCATTTAGAGAAATAGCAATTTACATAAATTGCACTATCTAAAAGTGATGCTGTAAAATAATAAATATGTAAAAATAAAGAGAGGAAGATGCAAGACTATATCCACTAAGAGCTTCTGGCTTTTTTTCCCCTCTGTGTTCTCAACTCTTCTATTTGATTATAAAGATGCTAATTCAAAGATAGTGATTTGTAGAATATTTTGTCATTGGCAAGAGTAAAAGGTGCTTCATTGGTACACAAGACAACTGTCTCCGCCCTTCCAGGAACTCCATCCTGTTTCTCTGGAGCAAGGGGCAACCAACCAAGAAAGCAACAGACCAATGTCTGTCCAACATGGCTTCAGGACAATTAACTTTACCCTTTTTCAAATAAGCCTCTTGCTCCTGTGTGGATTCTTAGATTATCACAGTCTATGAATATCACAGTATAATCTGACTATTTCTCAAATGTTAGACCCAATTACATCAGTAATTATACTGGATTGTTTCATACTGTTTTGGAATTGAAATGATGGGAAACTGCTACAACCATCCCTACCAGACAGACAATGCTTAGTTACAGAGTCTAGACTACCTCTCTTGGCTAACACATCAAATCCCAGAACCTTTGTTTCCACCTTCCATATGTCTTCCCCTAAAGATACTGTGCATTTTTTGTACCTTAGTTACATGTCTTCATTCAGCACACCTTGAACAAGTTTGAAAAGTCTGCTCTACTGTTAACGCTTATACTGCTGATTGTATGAGTGAAGTTTACTTGTTCTTTTTAATGTCCAATTGTTTTGAGATATCTAATGAAATCCAAATTAACTGAATGTAGTTGAAAGTAAAAAAAATGCACTTAAACATATTAATAGATGAATTGAAGTGACATTCAACTCAATACAAAATTATATTCATCTAATTTTCACTATAACTTGTTAAATGGAATAATTGAGAATATTTACTATATTATTTGTGTGGCTGCTATTTATTAAGCTCAGTATAGGTGCATATCCAAAAATAAACTACTGAATTAAGATATTTGCCTCAAACAACAGAAGATTCTTAAAAGTTACTTGTTATATTTACAATGATAGGTAAATAGATAGTTGATGGATGTGTGGATACATACATAGCTAAGCAATTATTTTAATTATGATGCTCCACAACTGATAGTTTCTAAAAAGTTCTTTAAAAGAAGACCTGCAGGTTATTTTAAATGTGTTACATGCATTGCGAGTCACATGTTTTTAACACATAGAGTCTTTCCATTCGCCATCCTCTAGGACAATAAAGCTTTAGAAATTCAGAGTTATTAAAAGTTACATTAAAGATATGCCTATAACCACAAAACAATTTGCACCCATTACAGCAATAATTGTGGTTTTTATTATTACTTATCAGTAAAGTGTTAGATGTGTATCCAAATAATTCTGTAAGGACAATATTTTAGCTTTCTACTACACTTAACATCCCAAAGGGAAGTGTCATTGATACTGGCCTGCTCTGCAGCCTCATAATGCTTGAGTTTATGTACCCTACTCACCATACGTGAAAGAAATACCAACACTGCATAGATGAAGAGCAAAATAATTTTTGTCGATAGTTCAGCATTCAAAAGCTAGACATAATTAACATTACTTTGCTTTCTAAATTAAGTCTTTTAAGAAAATGATCCTCCTATCGAGAGCTTCGTAAAATACATGACCATGTGTTCTACAAAATCATCTTTATGTTGCTATAGTTACTGAAATAGACTTATAAATTCTATGTTGATATTAAGGGAAAGGAAGGTATGTTTGCTTTGACCAACTGCAACTGTGAGCAAATTCAGGTACACAGCACTTTATTAGCAAAAACTCCTTTGGTAAGCACACGTTAGAGGAATTAATCATTCATTCCCTGCAGACTGCTTATGTATTTCATCAGGCCATTATCTGATCTGAATAACAAGAACAATTGCATAATAAAATGCATTACTGCTGACACTAGCAACTTTATTATTCAACTTTAAAGTTGCAACTCCTGTATGACACAGAAAGTTGGTGGCAAAAAAGCTAACAATTTAATGACCCTGGCTAGGCCTGATTTCTCTATGGTTATAGAAACAGTTACCAGGTATCTCTATAGGCTTGGCTAGAAACAACTTTAATTCAGGCTATCCTTCTTAACACTATGACATAATTATAGCAGAGGCAGACTGTGTGTCAGTTTATTATTATTAATGTTGTTGATAAATCTCCACTTTCAGAAATGAGACCGAACGAACAGTTCTCCTGTGTGTTGTGAGTAAATACATATGTAGTAAAAATACATGCAACTGCATGGTTGGTTCACTCTTAAGTGTGGCTGCTTATAGACTATTATCCTTTTATTTTTGAATATTGTTTTTCAAATGTCATATATCATCTCAGAGATGTGAGGTCAGAAATGATAGAGGTCATTATACACATAACCTAAATTTGATCAACCAATGATCTCAGTTTAAACTATTTAGATTCATTTCTAAACCAACCAGTCAAAGAAGCCTCACCGGAGAGCAATAAATGATCTTTACAATTTGGGTGAGAAATAAAATGATGCTGAAGAAACAATGACACATCTTTCCAAAGTGATCCCCATCCATTGTAACTTTGTATCACCATAATCTTCATCTCATCCATTGTCCTGGCTCATCACTCTAAAACTTATGTCCCAAAGTCAGTCAGAATGGCCCACAAAAAGGGCAGGATTCTAAATGCCATTTCCATTCTTAAACATTTTGCCTTTTTCCTATTTTTAAAATCAATGCCAAATGAAATTTTTGCTTAGCTATTTTAATTAATATAGAGGTGACAATATTTTGACTGCAAGAGTGTCACACAAATATGAGAAATCACTTAATCATTAATTGATAATAAATGATCATTATAAAGAAAATTTGCCTGATAATTAGTTGTAATTTTCTGTCAAATTGTATAATCTTGCAAGTTTTTTTTAAATCGGAAAAGCATGTTTTATATTAAGACAAAAAAACTGAAAGTTAATGATAAATTACATCGACTTTCTTTTCTAACCACTATTGTACTCCAATCGGCATGAGTGCCATTGTGTCAAAGAACTTTGTGTTAAAATTGGTTCAGTTGTTTCTAACCTGCAATTCCTACTGTACCTACTGTATCTGTAACAATGCAAGAAGAATTAGATTCAGAACCCATTTGGCAGTGATAAAGAGGGGAAAATGCTGAAACGTTATTGATTCTTTTCCCTCTTGTGCAAAACAAACTGACTCAACTATATTTTTCCTGACATAACACAAAGGTTTTATTTAGATATTACAACATATTGGCGAATGTTAAGCTACACATGTCCCTTATTCTTTTAAGGTACCGTTAACCTTTTCATGGCGAGAGCAAGAGTGCCCTACTTGTGTTCATGGAAAAGCTGCAGCCTCTGACAGGCGATGGTAGTCCAAGAGAAATGCTATCTGCAAAAGTTTTTGATGCAGCGATTTCAGCCTTAGGAGACACCTTAAACCTCTCAGCGGCTGATGAGGCTGTCACAGTTCATAACCGGCTGTGTCAGAGTCACAGGCTCAGCCCGCTCTCACACTGCATTTTTCACAGTTCTCCAAATTAACTTCACCAAATTCTCCGCCTAGGTTGATGCCAGGACTTCCTCCACACATAAACTGCTCACAGACATGAAGTCATCCGAACAGGATTTTCTTCTAGTCTTGCAAACCATCTCTATTAACTTTCCCTTGACCCAATTAATTTTGCTAGTGATCCTTAGAACTAAAGATAAAACAAGCAAACCACTGAAGTCAGCAAAGGGTGGAACTTGGGGGTGGACCAGGGTTGAAGGGTGACCGGAGGGAGGAGGCAATGGGATGGGAATCCTCAAGCTTTTTCTAGGTAACAGTCAATCTTAGAGCCAACCAACCAACACATTCACAAACCAGGTCTTCCAGCCGCCCTCGAACAATGAGCCTTTAACAATCAGACTCCTGGGAAGGCTTGCACATGCAGACACTCCTAAGTGATCTCCCACAAAGAAAGCCACACACACACACAAATGTTTAGCGAAGCACTTCTCAGGTAGAAATTACTCAAGTTATATAAGGCAAGTTCTTCCCTGGTAAAACGAACGAACCGGGAGAAAGCCTTCGGTAGACGCCTCACTTTAGAGACCAGGCACCAAGAGCAGTTTTACTTACTAGAGCCGCCGCTCCGCTCTCCTCGGGAACGGAGGAGTCTTCCTTTCCCTTTCTGCCAGTCCAACGGAGAACTGTCTTTCTATTCCCGGGTCCGGGCTCAACTGCAGACGGGGAGAGAACAGCCACAGCCGGCTGCGCTCCGTGTCGGTGGGCTGCAGCGCTTCGGCTTCTTTAAAAGTGGGCTCTGCGTGTGCGAGGGCGGCGCGGGAGGGAGGCAGCGCGCTCGGAGCCCGTGGGTCCCGCAGACGCCGGGGCGAGTGCCCGCA